AAAAAAAAAAAAAAAAAAGAGTATGTGGTTATTCTATAGTGAGTACTAATTTCTTCCCAATTAATTTCTTTTGTTAAGTACTGAGTGAAAACCCTCGCAGGGTCTTGTTAAAGAAAAGAACCCGAGTGAACAGTCTGACATTAGTTATTCCCATCCTTTTATCCAGATTGTGAAGAACGTTTAGGAACATCCCTTAGAGGGAGATGCTTGAATGGGTTCCATTCCTACCCAGGTGCTGCCTGAAAAGAAGTTATTTGAGAAGAAATGTCATTTAGGAAAATGAATAGATAGTGCCAGAATAAGGACAACCAGAAAATATCACCTGGGAGGCCACCCAAAGCAACATTCAGGAAACTGAACCAACACACAGGCCAGGGGAGATCTGCATTTCTAGTTAATAAGCCAATGGGAGTGACTCCGTCAAGCCACGAGAGGGGCACAGTTAAGGGCCAGCAATAAAAATGTGTAGCAGAGAAAAAAAGAAGCCAGTAAGTGTAGCTCAGGCGCACTTTACCATGGGCCAAAGTAAAATCTAAAAAGAATTTAACTAGGCAATACATGCTAACATTTACAGGAAGAGACACATGAGCTCAGACATTCTTGGGGGGAAGGGAGGATAAACATGAGCATGCCTGGGCTGTAAAGAGACACAAAGGATGTATTCATTACTTTGCCACTAGGTTCCAATGATAGTTAAAGTTATGAATCCAAAACAAATGAAATAGCTGGGAAAAAATGAGAACGAGTCTACAAGAAATTTTTCTATTAGGTGTTTTTTTATTAGGTAGTAAGATTTGCTTTTTAAGTCCATTTGTAAAACTTAGATTTTATATCATGCAGGCTATTTTTCTACACATCAGCATTCTGACAGATGCCTGCCTCAGTTTGTTATTTATGATAATTAAAATCAGTGAGTGACCCAAGGGATAGAGAATTAATACAATCTCACTAAACATCAAAACTAACTTATGTTCTTTCATAAGATAGCTAAAGGACACCATAAGAGAAAGCACATAGTACAAAAAAAGGAAGAAGAGAAACGAAGTCACAATTTTTATGGCTCTGACATGGGCCTCTCTGCTGGGGTCTCTACAGCCAGTAGCATGGAGTTTCATTTGCTCAGTATGTCTCCATAGGGACCTTACTAAAAGCAAAAATGAGATCAGTGACACAGCGAATGGAACAACTGTAAGCAGGTGAGGGAGAGTCACTGGGTCGAAGTATTGAATTCTACTCACATGCAACATTTCAGTGATGTTTCTTTTATGTTGTGCCATTTTATAAAACCTATAGTCATGACTCAATTCCAATGCTGTTATAAGGCTGACCAGCAAGGAGATGGCAAGGCACCCCAGCAGGATCCAGTGAACCACCCTGTCAATCCTCCACTTCAGCCAGAGAAAAAGAGGGTGGGAGAAACTGGCTATCTTGAGAAAATAGAAGACGTTGAGGCAAGTGGAAAACCATACACTTAAGTAGTTGAAGAGTGTCCAGAAAGCATAAATAATTACCATCAGCTTATTAGTTGCATAAACATCTGGGTAAAGTACCATTATTATGCCATTTAGAACCATTACGCCGATCAAACAAATTCTGGAAATAGCTAAATTAGTGAGGATGAAGTCAATCGAGGAGATTTTTTTCTTCTTATTCCAGTCAATCCAGTTAACTAGTCCAATGTATCCATTCCCCAACATTCCTATTATGAATTCTCCAGTTATTATGATCACAAAGATGTTTTCTTTAGTATGGAACATGTTTGTAGAGAGAACAGTCTGATCTCAAATATCACTGCAGGTGAACTAATTTACAGATGACTTGTTGGAATGTGATAAATAAATTCTTCAAATCATGCAGTAATGTTTTCATCTTTCATTATTTTGACTTTGATATCATTCCAGAAGTGTCCAGTTCTTCTCTAAAATAGAATTGTTTCTACATTTATGAAGACTAAACCAATTGATTACTCCAAATGAACAGGTTGCCTAGTTATTTATAGTCTGGAAAAATTATAATTATTACCTTTACTGAGTGATAACTGAAGTGATTGGCTGAAATTGCTCTCATGCAAATTCAAAGAGATTTTATTTCATAATTTGCAATAACCTTCTTGCTGCAGTTCTATATACTTGGACCCATCAAACTGAGTTTTGAATAGGGAAACACAAAAAGCAAACAAAAACATAAGTGTTTGATAAAATCAAAATGTGTAAATGGAACTTCATTTTCATCACTATAAATTATAAATTACTCACAAATTGGGTCTCCTAGATGGAAATGAATTTTCATTTCGAAAGTGATTAGTACAATTAGATTGTAGAAAGTCGACATTCAGTCAGAGGATAGCAATTTTT